CGTTCATTTTCTGAATGACTATCTGCACGGCCACCAACGCCCTCTATTCAAGACAATTATGCGCTACTTGTACTCACGCCCAAAAAAAAGTTTTGCCTTCTTTCCACGTTTATTTTCGTATAAAATCAATAAACTATTTTAACGCTCAGTTTTAATGACACTGTTTCTATAGTAGACATTAATTCAATGGCAGATAAACATTCTAAATCTCCATCCACGTTTTTCCAAACAGTGGAAAGAGAGTGATACACATGTAGATCTTAAAGAATTAGATATAATCTGAACTTGATGTCTTAGCAGTTTGTTGCATTCAGAATCTTTCATTCATTTTTTCTTTGGCAGTGGCCTTGGTTGATTTTTCTCGTAAGACCGCTGAATTTTGGTTTCTCTCGATCACTCCTCTCACTTGTGACGGGTGATTTATATGCTTTAAATTTTCTTTATAGACATGAAACCTGCTTTGCTCAGTGATTCGAAAACAAAAGATCCTTGGAATAGGCCAAGATTTAACACAATTAGCAAAGAAAGTATTAATGACATTCAAGTAAGAGATTGAAGTTATCCTTTTCTCAAAGTGGGCACTATGCAGAATTATAATTCAGCTTAGTTTAAAAAATCATATGCATTCTTTAACAATCCTTCGTAAGCGGTCTCTTCTATCACAAACTTATACAATTGTTGATGAAAGGTGAATTAGGGCAACAGTGTAGTGTAAACTGTGTTTGACTTACCAATACTATAAGCTTATTACGAGATTTTCTTTTTAATTCAAGACGAATTTACGCATTCATTATGTGAAAAGAAAAAAATAATACAACATGCTGTTGCTCGAGTATTTTTTTCCGTTGATTCTGATTGATTCATCCTTCTGTAATGGAAACATAATCTGTTAAATTCAAACAAAACATTGTTTTGTCAAGTGACACTCCTTTTCGAACGTTGTTGTCACGACGTCAAAACGAGAATAATAGATTTTCTTTCTTCTATTTTCTTTCAAATAGAAACAAAACAAAAAGAAGAAACGAATTTTTTTTTTGATCATTTTTGTTAAATATAATCATTTATTATTTAGAAAATAAATAATAATTATGACAAGCAAACTAGAAAAAGTATGTGACTGTTTCCTGTGCTGTGATATGTGTGTGTCTAGAATTATACACTTTGGTGATAAAATCAGAATCGTTTGTGATGAGAGTATTCGATAGAGTGTGTTAAATTACAGATAATGGAATATAATATCAGTCAAATATAGATCAGTTCATCGTTTAATCAAAGCTGTTGAATTTTGAATCTACTCTTAAATAACGTCACGTTGACAACAAACACTCTGAAACAGTTAAAACTGAAATAGAAGTATATGAGTACTTCTTTTTTCCTTTTTCTTTTGTCTCGCATCTTGATATCAGCATCACATTCTTGCCATCGTTATTAAACCTTCATAACCAGCGTTGAAACTAAGCTTTTAGCTGACCTATACTAACATTCAAGTGCATATGAGAGAAAGTACATACTTTGAAGGCTAGTGATCTAGTGAAATAATTTCTCCTCGAAGTTGCAGAGAAAAAGCGAGAGTGAAAGAAATCTGTAGAAGATCTGGAGTTTGACTTTTACTTGCAATTTTCTAAAGGATTCAGGCTATTTCAAAAACAAAAATTGCTATTTTCGACTTGAAAATAGAGGAAAAAGAATATGAATAAATCTTTAAAATTTGTCAACAGTTTTCTGAACTAGTAGGACTTTTCGGTTTCTCTTTGACAGCATTAACGTTTTCTAAGAATAACAATCGGTAAGATAACAAGTTTAGTATTTCGCTGAAAAATCTTCAGATTCATATAAATCTGTGTTGAAATTATTTTTGCTTTCCTTGTCAAGACCTTTACTCTCGAAATATCCCATTTTCTTATTTCTTGTAGCGTCTTGACGAAAGAATTTGCACTAGAGATGAAGGCCTTTGAACCCGATTTTCATATCGAGTTTTGGTATGACCTAAAGAATGTTCTTTGCAGAGAATTGTAATTAGTTCGATTCATTCATATACTCAGAAACTTTAGGAGCAGTCTGCATCACCATGGAATATAAAGTAATATATTTTCAAATATTTAACAAGAGATTCTCTAATTTCTTCGGGAAATAGATTGAATGTTATTCTGTGATCACGACTGAAAACTCACTAGTTTCAGATTTTTGGGAGTAGAACCCTTTTAAAAGAAAACCAATTGGTATGAGGTATATCCATTAATGTGAAACATAAATATATCGTCTTCACTTAGACAATTATATATGTAACGTTTTTCATTCTTTACCAGCGAATTGTTTTATTTCCACTTTCAGCGGGATACTTTCTTCTAAAGAATTGGAGAGGTCTGTCTCAGACAGTTAATTTAGGCTCGTAATAAGGCTGCGTGTCTACATAAGCATTTTTTTTATTGGTTTTTCGATGATATTTTCGTCTTCTTCGCTGAGTGTTACTTCTATTCTATGTTCCACTGATCTCTCCTTTTTAGCATTTTACTAGGAAAAAGACGTAGTTCTTTGACCTACGCGTGTTAGTTTCATTCATATATTCAGAATTTTATAACGTGGTATGTAAAATTCGAATACAGAAAATATTTCTTTTGTTTTTGAAAATCGTGAAGTTATTATGCAAAAAAAGTTTAGTACTATCGAGGAGTATGTCTAAACAATGTATACTGAACGAATTATAAGATTAATAATATAAACACTTGATATTCCTCTTTTTATTCTTTAGAGGTAAAAAAGAAGAAAAAATTTAAATTTAATAACGAGTTTAAATTTTGCATTTTAAGTTCAAGAGAATGGTTAATGTGAAAAACTTATTTTTCATCAAAAAAGATGTGTCCGAATCTTATCTATTGATTGATAAACAATTGCTATTCTCTAGTGATTTTTGGTAAAAAGTTGCGAAAAAATGACGGTTTCCATGGTATTTTGAAATGACGAGTATTAAACAGATATAAAGATAAAATGCCTTTTTTCAAAGAACCGTAATCAGTGAAGATAGGCTTTTGCTTATGGCAAATTTTACGTGTAGTTGTGGTTAACTCTTTTGAAACATGTATGAAAAAGGTGATGCGCGTAACACCTCGTAAAAGAATCGCTGTGCTTTATTTACAATGAAAGCTACTTGATTTTTATTTATTTCTGACTTTTATGTCAAAAAAAGTACTCAATAACAATACTTCAGCGAGAGAATGAAAAAGAAGATTTAGAAATGAAAAAAATTATTTTGTAATGCAGTTTTTTTGTTTATCTTATCCCGAGATTTTATTGAAGAATGATTAGCTAAATAGAGTACAATAGCACAGTGTGAACTACAATGTTCTGATCCAGTATTTTACTTCTAAAATGCTTTGTTTAGGGTAGAGATGCAGCAAGATTTTACATGCAAACACCGTATACACCTTGCACATGTTATATCACTTTTTTCTCAGTAAGAAGGCAAATTTGTTTAAAATTTTAACTTGACGACGTACGGAAGCCTTATAAACAATGATAATTAAACAAACAAAAAGAGCACTTTTGACATCGGTGTTTTTATTTATAAAAAAGAATTGAATTTTTCAAATAGTTAGGTATTACGTACAAGCACTCGGTCACATTCAAATTTCAAATTCACAGTCACTAATAATTACAACTATACTATTTTTCTAATACTAACAAATTTGAATAAATTCAGTTGTGTATATAACGGTCTCATTTTTTTGCTTTTTGTAGTTGACCATTAAATAATTAATAAGCTCCCATTTTCCTATGCTCACTACTGTTATACAATCAATAATAAGCAGTCAGAGCTGAGTGCTACTTTTTGAGTTAAGTCCCCATCCTCATCCTACCATAAATACAGACCTTTTTATAATGAGGTCGGGAGAGATATTGAGCAGGGCGTGTGAGGAGGGACAGCCAAGGTGCCTATTCTTAGAATCCATATTGTTTTTAAGAGTTCTGAGAACCTTTGATGGTTTTTTTGTAAGAAGCCTAAAAAACTGATTTTTCTGAAATTCTAATATAATGTCAAAAAGCAAAAAGAATTCAAGTTGCTCGGTTGCAAAATAATGGAACAGACTAAATTACTTCGATAGCTTCAGATTATCGAACAAATAAACGATGAACAGAATGCCTCAGCATTCTAGATTAGCACGCGAAAGTTCTCTCGCTTAGATTTAGATTTCGCCCTTTGTAATCTTCGGTTGATAGGCCATCGTTAAACGATAAGAAAAATTGTTTACACTGCCACGTTTTATCGTATAGTGATACTTCCTTGAATTTCCGAACTAACCTCTGCTATTTCAAGCATTTAGAAAGGTGCTGAATATATTCTTAAAGCTGCTCACAGCTTACGGAAAAGGCTCAAATTTTTCAACTATCGTCCGACATACACAAAAAACATTTTAACTTTCTTATTTTTCTATTAACACGGCACAAAATTATAATCATTATGAATTTTAAACTGAATCCTTCAATACTTTCAAAGGAACAACAGAAAAACTTTTTAGAAAATAATAGATTATTATCGAAAGCTGATGTAGGTCAAGGTTTTCGCGATCTAAAGGATGTTCTTGTTCAAAATAAACACGACAGGTCGTAATCAACATCAAAAATTGAGTCGAAACATGTATATTCTAGAAGCCTGCTGTAACTTATAGATGAGGGATGACATACCAACATTTTTTCTCTGTGAGTGTTCCATTGTGAAGTAGAAGTTCCAGTCTTAAGCGGCGCAGCCAGTGGGCTTGAATCACCCCCTTGTTTTTAGAATCAAAACATTCGAAAAATACCCGTTTTAATCAGTAAGCTTGGTCAAAAATGTCTGTCGAGGCACATATCATATTTTAAAAGAAGGTGCTTTTATATGTTTGGAATTTAAAATTGGTAATTGTGAGCAGAGCGTCATCCTCAGACAACTTTAAAAACGTTCATAAAGTGAAAAAACAGTTTTGTAAAGAACGCCAGTTTGGATATTTTCCACTATATCGATCTAGATGGATCATCTGGGCAGGCTCATTATTGACCGAAAAGATAAAAAAGCTGAAGATGTGTTTACTGAGAATATGAACATCGTTGTAAAAAGCGCTGTAATTTAGCTCGTATTTCGCAGTTTTCCTCTGACTTTGTACCCGTATCTGAATTTGATAGGAGAATTATGTTACCAACTATTATATGTTCTTTCGTAGAAACTGATGAACCTATGGAAAATAAATCTAAACTATGTGAGCCGGTTGTATTTTCTCTGTGGACTGCAGAGACACCAATTAACCCCATTAGAACGTTTTTACAACGATGTTCAGTTTCCAAATAAGCACATCCTCAATTTCTCCTCGAAAGTATATCTTTGGAGGAAGCAAACATAACTCTGCATTCTTTTTTAAGTCTCCTTGATTTTGGAACGCTCCGCCACCTATGATTCCAGTGATTCTCATTAATCTTACTACTAGTAGTTCCGTTTGTATCGAACGACGGTGGTTTTAATTTTGCATATTAGAAACGAAACTTTCACTAAGAATAATTTAAATAGATTAATTCATCCCACAACAACACTGACGAGTAACATGAGAGGAAAATATTCCCTTTTAGTTTAGTGAAAATGTAAGAGAAGAATCCTTTTGGTTCGCGTAGGAGCAACACCTGCACGTAAAATGGTGGCTATTCGAATTTTATAAAACTAAACTACTGTATGCTAGAACATACTTCCGATATCACCATAACACCTTTTCTCTTTCGAAAACATGCAAAAGTTTCACGAAAAAAAATTCGCTGATTTATCCGCCCTCGCCCTTTATTTTCTCTATAACTACTTCTATCACTGTTGCTATGTACTATTTAAATTATGATTCAAAAAATACTTCGTTAAAAAAGCTCTTCTTAAATAAACATGCACCTATTGTAACAAAACTGTGAAGACCATGACAATAGCTAGCAAATTCACTGAATCAACATCTATCTCCATAGCGGTGATACATACAGCAATGCATCCGCTAATAAAAAACATCTACATCACATACTCTGCAAACCGTTCTGTAGAAAGAGAGTAGTAGACAACTTTTCTACTGTCTAAATCTTTCTAAACCTGAAAAGCTGAGTTTTGCTCATTTGAAGATTAAAGACTATCCGCCTTGTCTTCCTTTCCTCTGAAAATCTTCTCCATTTGTTAGTGAAAATACTGTTAAAGTCGATGGCTAACAGTTCGAAAAACGAATCAACTAAAAAATATGACGAAATATGCTCATATCTGAATTAATTTAGAGTGATGATGATTCATTTCAGCTTTTTGAGCTTATCAAGTATTTAAAAAACCTTAAATTTTTCAGTTACCTGTCATACGCTGGCTGTTTTGACTTGGAGTAATTTATGAAACGAAATATTTCTACATTCTCTATTTTCAAAAAAATTCTCTTTTCGAAGTGTGTGTTCCTGAAATGTACATAAAATATCGGAAACAGAATTTGAAAAAGTATACATTATCAAAGCCATGAACATACGTATATGATATGTATTTAACACTGTCATTATCCATTTGTAATGATCTGATCGTCTATGTATATCTCAATAAAAAATCAAGTGCTATTTGTTACTGCATTATTACTATTATGTTAGTATTTTTACCTTTTTTCTATTAAAACATAGCAAATAGAAGGAATCTGTACTTATGCACATCTAATTATAACTTATATTTTCCAAGACAATCATTTCTTCTCTTGTCCCCCCTCCCTCTTGTCAAAAACGACACATGCGTGTGTTAAAGTTAAGAAATAAAAGAAATAGTGAGGTGGATGTTGTTATCGGAAATAAAAAATAATTGTTAAATAAAAATACAAGAAAAGGATTGATGTATGCTGTAAATTGGAGAGAGATGTTTGATTTCTTTTTTTTAACATCAACATGAGAATGAATGTATATAAAAAAAAATGAAATAAAATCAGATCTGTTTTCAACATTACTATTAGTTGTTACAGTAATACTTTAAATCGATTTGTAAGAGGCATATAAGTTAAAAAAAAATGATGTCAAGACCAAAACCAACCGTTTCAGCGGCTGAATATGCGGTGAGCAAGAAGGATAGTATTAGCACACTAGTAAGACTACATTAGCAACTAAAGAGAGCCAGAGTACATTTGCTAGAATGACATATATTTCCTAACAAATGTTTCATAGTAACATCTACAGCAAAAAAAATCTGTCTCGGAACCAAATATACAACAATACAAAAGTAATATTTAGAAAAATGATTAATGAAGTAAAGAGGAGAATTAGAAAAGAAAATATACTCCCTTATAAGTTCGAACACTTTGAAATGAGGGTATAATCCTGTCCTTAACGCAGATTAGTATGTAGCACGCAATAATTTTGAAAGTGTAGAACTCACGACAGAGAAGAAAAAGACACATTTGGGAAACTTGTTTCCACCCAGGATAATGTAAATGATCGTTGTATACGTCTACTTACGTGCGGTTTACGATTGTAATAAGGTCGTGATATAATACGTATACATGCAGACATAATACGTTATTGTATACAACTACTGTAAAGAAAACGTTTACCACCGTTTACCATCGTGTACGGCATTTTACGACGGTTAAATACGATAACGTGTTACGTCTGTATTTGGTCGTAAGTCGTCAATTACGATCGTACGAAATCGACCTGGGTAGTAGTGGCGGTGCCACAGGTTGTCTGGGGTGGGCTCAGCCCACCCTAAAATATTTTGAGCCCAGTCTAAATTCTTGGGGCCGCCGCTGCTGGGTAGATAAGATACACCAAAGAATGACTCTTTATTATATTCGTTCTTCATAAAAGTATTCGTTAGCAACTAGGTTGCTGTTATTCTGACTGTTTTTCTATTCAGCTCAAGAGGAGATCTAAATTTTCTATTTTCCAATCGAGAAAAATAAATAATCAAATAATTTAAAATTCAATCACGCATCAACATCTGTATGGTTATTATTAATGCCGTTAAATGTTAAAGTTCAGCAATTTCGTTCTAAGAAAACCACGGTATACAATGCTTGCTCCCTAGAAACAAAACTTAGAAAACTTTTCTAACTGCTGAAAAAATTCATATTGCTATACGTAGCTCTAGCATATTTTCATATACAGAATGCCATCTAATAGCAGTGCATATTTCTTCCGTATAACCGAAGAGAGGTTCAGTCTCAGAGGAAATTGTTTCTGTGTTATAGAGTGACAGAAATAGAGGAAAGGTTTTCTTCCACTTTTTCTAACACCACATCCTACTAGTCGATAGCTATAACTAACTATTGTAGTGTTTTACTTGTAATGATTTATCTGATGTGTGTATAGGCACGTGCTCGTGAAGAACGCGAAGGGAAACGTGCTCAATTAGATGATCGTCATCATCATTTATTTGATATATTGGCCACACGATTGGGAATCGACCGACATGAAGTAGAAGACAATGTGCTGGATAGTCCAAATGTAAGTACAACAAGCTTGTATGCTCCTTTGTCAGCTAGAGTTCGTTTTTATTTCCAGTTCAATCTTATGGACTTATTTTTTGTGGATGGCGGACATCAATATTTAGTTTTTTTTTATCAAGAACTTGATCCAGATCATATGAATACAGGTAAAAAAGACATTTTTTTTATTTCATCCGAATATATTTTTATTCTTTATTTTCTATAAAAGGTGATTCATACCGTCCATCGATCTCTCCGTTTTTATCTCGTTCCACAACGAAGCATACAAAACCAAAAGTGATCATAGCCGACTTAACGGAGCAAAGTTTAAGAGGTGTATGTTTGTGCTTTCTGAGAAACTCCAAAAAAACACCAATTACAATAGCAAACATCCATACCGTATGTATTTAAAATTCACTTTTTCTATTGGTTTAGCGTGTTAACTGAGTTGAGACAGTACAATATCCACTTTTGGTGAAAAGAGAGACAAAAATATATCGGTTTCTGCTACAGTCTTTAGATTCTCAATAATACACGTAGAGAAATAGAATAGTTAAAACACTTTCACAAATATTCTGGTGTGCCATTTCTTTGACAACTCGAATAAATGAGTACCTATTATTTCGTTGCAACTCTGCATTATTCTTATAATAAATCTTTTTCCTTCACATCAGGGATAGGTACTTTGATTCGTAAAATTCTCAGAAAACATATGAAACTATTTGATGTGGTGCTCACACCACTGGTTCTTTGTCGGTCATAACAAATGGCACATTTTTACTTCTTTGCACAAGAGATTCTATATTGATTTTGATTTTATTTCTAACTTCATCCAAATGACTTTTCTTATCAATATGAAAGAAGTTTTACAATACATTTTGGATATTTTGGGGTTTTTTTCAAATATACAACCTGCTAAACTTTTTTGTCTGAATAGTCTGCTTTTTTTATACGAATTAACAATTTCTTTTTGTACATTTGCTAAGTGTAAGCATCATTTTATGACTTTTGTGCAAGTATCTGCAATTAATTCGGGAAGCTATTTTACTTCAAGAACAATGGTTAAAGCAGCTGCTTTACTAAAACTTTTTATATCGAAAAAATAATTTTATTAATTATTTATTTATATTAATAGGTTTTTAGATATAAAAATTTTATATCGAAAAAGTTTATATAATATAAAATAGAATTTTTATATTAATCATTTTATTAATAATTAATATAAAAAATAATTTATATATAAAATTTTGTGTTAAGAAATATTACAAGATCTTCGAGAAAATACTAGGTCAAGAGCGTAGTTCAAAAACTTTTACTAAAGGTGTGTCTAAGGAACATTTTGCCAGGAAAGTTTTACGACAACAATAAAAGCTCCTATTTCGAACGTTTCCATACCATTCAATGGCTAAATACTTCAGCGACATGTTGATAAAAACGATTTACAATAACTTTAAGTCTTGAATGTAAACCTTCACGCGTAAAAGTTATGCAAAATTTACTTCTCTTACCATATTGAAAAACTTTTAGTCAAATATAAAGTATATGAACTTACTTTAAACAGATAGTAACGAATGAGGAATTGGAGTAAAACAGTTTAAACAGACGAAAAATAAATTCGTATTTTAATTACAATACTAATGCTAGATGTAGTTATTTGTACTCTTTCGAACAATGTATTTGAAAAAAAAATTATGCTCCTTCAGCGTGAAGAATTGTTAATTTTTCGAAAAATTTTGGCCTTTATATACATACTGCACGTCAAAGTTCTACATTGAGGAATTAAAGTTATTTGACATCTTTTTTTATCAAAACATAGTGAAAATATTTAGTCAACAAATGTTATGGTATACCTTTCATCTGTACATCTTAGATACAAAGAAAAATTGAATTCACTTCACTCTATGAATGTATAATTTTGATGAACTGATAAAGGCCACGATTTTCATATAGTACTTCTGCAATAAAGAGTAATTGAACTTTGCTATCTATTTCTTAGGCAAATATGCAAGAGAGTATTGTAATATGTTACTGAAAGGTTAATTTTGTCAGATCAGGTCGTCTGGCAGATAGGATCACAGCAAATTTTATCAAGAGAGTACATCTGTATTTATGACCAACACTGTAGTCAGTGAGCTAGGAATAGGTGCCACTTTTCCACATTGTTTTTCATTAACTTTTACTCGCACTAATATTTCGCTATTAGGAAGAAAAGTAGAGAATTTAATTTTTTAAATAAAAAGAATGTTTTATAATCTAGTCAGAAATACAGAGGTGGTAACAGAAATGTGATAAATGTCTCGTTTTACAAACTCCTCACTTTGAAAACGATTCTTTAACTTCTTTATTCGACAACATAAAGGGTATAAAAAATTTTCTATGAAGTTCTGCATTTAACAGTCATAAAATAAACTTTTTTGTTGTAGTTTGCTTACCAGCACTCTAGTTCTTGCATTTAGAAATGAAAAGCTATGACTTATGGCTTTTGAAGTTAGATTGATAGAGTATAAGGTTCTACATCTTTTGATAGTGAAATAACTTATTAGAAGCTTGAACACACTAATGTGAAATAATATGAGAGAAGAAATTCAAAAGATGGTGAAGCAGTTTCTGAAACGAAAACTTTTCATTTCTGACGCCACTTCTATAGTTCTGACTGGATTAGAAAATCAAATACATTCTTTTTGTAAAAAATTAAATTTGCTACTTTTCTTCCTAAAAGCGAAATATTTAGTGCAAGTAGAAGTTAATGAAAAACTGTGAGGAAAAGCGGCGATTACCCGTTAATTATTGTACGAAAAGAGAGATATCTTCTTTTTTTTCTCAAATTCCTGATTTCCTCTAGTACAGATTGTAGTTAATGCGATTCGAATGTCATAATAAATAAAAGTAGTATTCAATTTAAACAAGGTGTTAAGACAACAGGGTAAATTAAAGTGATTTATTTTCGCATTTTTAGGAAGTATATTTTTATACATTCGAATGTAATTCAGATCAACCGCTGTTACAAGCATTAGGTCGTTCAATAAGTGAAATATATTTACCCTATTTACAAGTTAGTGATTCTACATGGGGCAAATTAGGCAATGAGAGTCAAGTAGTTAAAGTAGACTTTTTATCAAAACTATCCAATTTTGTTTCAACACTTTATGGTAAGTGATTTGTGAAAATGATTAAAAAATCTTGAGTAAAGAATGTGTTCTATATCGTTTAGGTGCCCAAGAGAGTATAAATGAACGTGTTCTATTGAAACCATGTGATAAAGTTGATGTTAGTCATCTTCAAAATGCAGCTGATTATGCATCAATAGCCTCAAATAATGAATCATTACAGTCAATTGAAGACACAATGAAGACATGGATCAAACAAATGGAGCAGGTAATCAATTATCATTTATTATTTTTAAGATTATGTAATTTGTTAAATATTTTTATTTTAGGTATTAGCTGAAAGTGAACAAATTCGTCGTGAAGCAGATAATATAGGTCCACGAGCTGAATTAGAATATTGGAAAAAACGTATGACAAAATTTAATTTTTTACTCGATCAAATTAAAGGAGCAGATGTTAAAGGTGTATTAACCATTTTACAAACGGCAAAATCAAAACTTATACAACAATGGAAATTATTAGATGGGAAAATAACGGATGCAGCTAATGAAGCAAAAGATAATGTTCGCTATTTATACACTTTGGAAAAATTTTGTGAACCATTGTACAATTCAGATCCAGTGGGAATGTTAGATTCAATACCGGGACTTATTAATGCTGTGAGAATGATACATTCAATATCAAGATATTATAATACATCGGAAAGGATGACATCACTATTTGTCAAAGTATGAAAACATTGTACCAACAAAAAATAGACATGAGAAATTTTTATCTTATTTTCCATTTTCTTTTCTTTTTTTAAGATAACAAATCAAATGATTACAACATGTAAAAATTATGTGACTAATAATTATACAGAAACAATATGGTCACAAGAACAATCAATTCTTATCTCAAAATTACGTGATTGTATTAAACTTAACGATGAGTATCAACGAAATTTTCAATTAACAAAAACAAAATTGGCTCAAACACCCAATGAACGTCCATTTGATTTTAGTGAAATGTATATATTTGGAAAATTTGATTCATTTCAACGACGATGTGAAAAAATAATTGATATGTTTACTACAATGAATATGTATCAACATTTACAAGATTCAAAAATTGAAGGTAAAAGAATCTCTTCTTTTGTTTTTTCTTCTTCTATTCTTTACTTAAAAATTGTACAACAAATTCACTGTTTCTTGTTGTTGTTATTTTTTTAAGGTATTAGTCCATTTTATTCCAAGTTTAACATGATTGTTCAAAGTATGAAAAAAAAGGATTATGATTATTTGGATCAACGAAAACAAGATTTTGATTTGGACTACGATGAATTTCGACGTTCTATTCAAGATTTACATAGTGGAATTAATGAATTTTTAGGTAAGAATGTTACTTATTTTATACAATGTCATTTAATCATTGTCTTTATATTTAACTTTTTTTAGATAAATATTTTAATGTTATTCGAAATACTGAACGTGCTTTAGTTGCATTAAAACGTTTTGAAAAATTACATCTACCTAATATTGGTTTAAATGAAAAATATTCAAAAATTCTTAATCAATATTCGAGAGATTTGGATCTTGTTGCAAAAATATATCAAAAAAATAACAAGGAACCATTGATATCAAGAGATTTACCACCTATAGCTGGTAAATAGTAGTTTTAAATCTTAGACTTTAACTAATAAACATTTTTCTCTTTCTTTTATTAAGGTCGTATAATTTGGGCTCGTCAATTATATCTTCGTATTCAACAACCAATGGATATTTTTGTTGCTAATAAAACAATTCTTCAATATCCTGATGCTAAAAAGATTATTAAAAATTATAATCAACTATCAAAAGTATTACTTTCCTATGAAATATTATATCATCGTGGATGGTTTAGACAAGCTAATGTTATATCAACTGGTATTAATTCATCTCTACTTGTTCTTGTTCGACATGATAATGATTTAACCATTGGTTCAGCTACCACAACAGCTACTCAATCACTCATTACTTCATCTACACTCTCATCATCGGGTAAATCACCCGATTATGTAGTCAATTTTGATCCAAATATTTTAGAATTAATTCGTGAAACACAATGTTTAGCACGATTAGGATTAGAAATACCGAATGAGGCCGCAATTCTAGCTCAACGGGAAGAATCTTTAAAGAAACATTATCAAGATTTAATGGGATTATTAGAAAAAAATAAACAATTACGAGAAAAAATAAAATTGCCATTTGAACTTTTATTACAACCAAAAATTCATCGATTGAATGATATTATAAAACCAGGTCTGACAACATTGACATGGGCATCGTTAAACATCGACGATTATGTTCGATCGGTTAGTTTATTCATTTTTTAACTAAATATGTGTGACAAATAAAAATTATGATTATTCTAGGTTCGTGATGCATTATCTGAATTTGATTTAATATTAGAACGATCAAATGATTTGGTAGCCTTTCGAATTGATGCTGTCCTAGATGAAATTGCATCCATGTCACTTTGTGAATTACCAGAAGATGAACCAATATCACCAGAAAAATTTTTAGAAAATACTCAAGTAAATCTCTGTTGTCTCACTCTTTGTATTCTGCTGATTGATTGATATAAAATGTATTTTTTTTCTAGGAATTATGTGCACGTTGTTCTCAGTTAATGCAAATAAAATCGCGTAATATTGAAGATGCTGTTTTGGAAGTGATTGATTTATTCTGTGGTACCGGTATGGATGGAGAGCATGGAGGTTATCCAAATGGAGATTATGACGATGAAGAAACAACAGATGGTAAGTGTCCAATATAAATTCATCATCCTTCTAATTCTCACTTTCTGTTGTAGATGATACAACTGTCATTAATAGTCGAATACATACCGGAAAAAGTCGAACCAGTAATCTACTAAATAACTTAGCCTCAAATAGCCATCAACGTATACCGTCATCACAAGTAAATGGACGATTGAAATCAGGAACTCATCAAAAACAGTTACAACAAAATGGTATTGGTGGTAGACGAAAACGTGAACAAAGTGAACAATTACAAACAGCTATTATGGAATTGATCAATCATTTTAGTCATAGAAATTTGGATGCAATAGTAAGAGTGGTTAAATCAACTCTAGAAAAGTTGAGAAAACGAATTACATCAACGCTGACATATGGTATGACTAGTTAAGTGATTGGCAAATTTTTATATTTATCTTAATCTCACAATTTACTATTCTGTTTTTGAGCATTGCGATAAAAATTTAATTTAACATGGTTAAACGATCTTATCGTTTAATAGGAAATTACTTTATTTCATGAACTTCACATATTCAGTTACTATCATATTGCTATACGTCTACTGATTTAAGCAACTATTTTACATTACTTTCAGGTCGTAATCATCGTGAAGCACCTGTATTTAAAGTGTTTGCTGAATTAGCCATTCCAAATGTAGTTGTACAACCACCAGCTGATGAAGTGCAGTTGTATTTGAATAAAGCTGTACAAACAATATTATCTGTAGCAAAAAGTGTCTCACAGTGGAGTAAAGAAAGAAATAGAGTAAGTAGACGTCAATAACGTCCATAATTATCTAAAAAATCCATTACTAGCATTCACTGATCTAGATCTTATAAAATATTGAGAAATATCTACGTCGTCACTTGAAACTATAGGTTATTCCTGGCTTTAAGAGAAAATACTACTCTTATGTTATTTCAATTTGCGTTTCATAAAAAAATAATATCCTATTGTTTTTAGCCGCTTTATCTTTCTGCTCCTGTTATGAAAGCGTTGATCAACATTGGCGCTTTACAACAAAGTCAAAGTGAACTTCGACTATTAAAAAAACTTAGTCAAGTATATAAGATAGATAATTCTTTGTCTCTGAGATTTTCTCTGATAAATGCATGAAAATTCTGCCAAGAGCGTGAACTATCTCTTAATTTTCTTCTATTCTCTATATTCTACTCTTGAAAAAAGTGTGTAGTATAAGCATGTACAAGTCCTTCTATTGAGAGAAAGTGATGAGAAAAGTGAATTGACTATTATGTGTGAAATTTGTTTAAATTTTGTTCGCTTTTAATAAAAATATTATTAGAGGTTTATCTTCTAGTTGAAATTTCCTTATGTACTTTAATTATTCTTATTTCATATTGGTTACTATAGAAAAATCGTATGAGTGAATTTTCTTTCTTTTTACTATCATTCTGAAGTTAGAAAACTCCTATTTGACTACTACTGATTTTTTGTTGTTTTATGAGAAAGATGTATTTATTTATACTGAATATAAACAATTTGGTATCTTTTTTCAAGAGGTATATACTTTTAATTTGCATGACTCCTTGTTTGCATGGCTCCCATCTGTTTGAGCATAACTAATCCTTCAATAATGAAACTATCTTACTTCTTTTTTCTTTCTAGTCAAAACGTGGTCGATTAGATACGTCTGTTGAAGTTCAAAATGGTCTTAGTGAAACAGAAACACGACTTATACGACAGGGAAGTTTAGTAAATGGAGATGTTACAGAAGATGGTGATTCAACTGTGGCTCCCACTGGAGGGAGACAAAGTTCGATGGATGTACTCAAGGATACAACAGGAGCCGGTACATCGACTACACAAATTCAAGGACCACAACTTGGCGAGTCAGGAAGTAAAGTTCGTCTCAATGATCAACAAGAACGACAAGTTGTATTTACACCAACTAATAATTATTATAAAAATGTATCAGAAAACAAAGATATAGCAAAATTAATATCATTACTTGCAACGTGTATTAATGCAACAAAAAAAGTATGTATTATACAAAATTTAAAAATCAAGACGTTGTAAAAAATAAAAATTATCTATTTTTAGGAAATAACGGTGGCTCTTGAACCATTTACTCGTTATAACGCTTTATGGCAAAAAGATCGTGATGAAGAATTAAAAGAATTTTTATCTCGTCAACCGCGTGTGGGTGAATTTGAAGCAAAAATCAAAGATTATGAACGTTTATCATCAGAAATTAGTTCACAACCAGAATTTATACCTGTTGGTCCATTAGCTATATTTACAGGTACTTATTACAATAAAAACAATTGAATAATATATCATTTATTGTTTCTTTTATTTTAGAACGTTTAAAATTTGGTTTGACAACAGAAGTTCGTGATTGGGTAATTCGTTATGGTCAAGCATGTAATCTTAAATATCGTAAAGAAATGAACGATGTCATTCAATTTATTGAAGATATTGAAAAACGTTTACAACGACCAATTCAAGATCTTGAAGATATTCGATTAGTAATGTTAGCTGTTAAAGAATTACGAGAAAATGAGATTCGACTTGATATGTCAATTGGACCTATTGAAGAATCGTATGCCATGTTACAAGCACATGAACTCAATGTAGCAAGAGAAGAAATCGAACGATGTGATACTTTACGATATTCATGGCAAAAATTACAAAATCATTGTTCACAGATGACTACACATCTATTAGAAATTCAACCTCGATTTAAAGAAGATCTCTTGGAAAATGTGGCCAAATTTATTAAAGAATGTGAACGATTTTATATTGAATATGAAAAAGGTGGACCAACAATTAGTGGTATAACACCGCGTGAATCATCTGATCGACAAATTCTCTTTCAAAGTCGAGTAGAAAATTTATATAAACGTTTTGAAACATATCATGGTGGTGAAGAATTATTTGGTCTTCCTGTAGCAGACTATCCACAATTAGAAAAAATTAAAAAAGATTTAGCACTCTTACAACGATTATATACATTATACAATAAAGTATTAGATACGGTAGCTAGTTATTTTGATATACCGTGGGTCGATGTGAACATTGATAAAATCAATCAAGAATTATCTGATTTTCAAACATCATGTCGAAAATTACCAAAAGGATTAAGAGATTTTCCAGCATTTCATGCACTCAAAAAAACAATCGATGATTTTAGTGAATGTACGTACATTGTGAGGAAATTATAGAAAGTCCTAAAAATTGTACGAACAATTTATTTCATACCAAGCAAATATTTTTATGTTGTTTTAAACTATGAAACTACTTCAAACAACCTAAAATTATATCGAATACCTTCACACGCGTCTAGAGAGGTAGAGTTCGACCAGCGGATTAAGATATTATAGGCGAGACTTTCTGAAATCCTATACAAAAGATAAGAGAGCGTAAATTTTATAAAAATCGTACAAAACCATGTATAAAATCTGTCGTCATTTTCTGCATAAAAATGAACTAAAAATTTAGTTCTGAAAGTTCCTATGCAGCTAAAAAAGATTATTCGCAACACTAATTAATTACTGGAGGTATTATTGATCTGTAATGATAAAAACTATAAAATTGGAAAGTAATCGCTATACTGATCAGAAGTATTTTGATGTTAAATCATGTTTAGTTCTGACAAGTCTTCGAAGCGATCTTAGGTAGTTTTTATAACATTTACGCTCTCTTATTTTTCGTATCGGAATTCTCATCTAAAGTTTCTTTTTCAACTACTGGTTGAGCCCTATCTCTCTAGACTCATGTGAAGGTATTCGATGTAATTTGAAGTATTTTAGAGTGGTTTCGTAGCTTACAAATATCCGACACTTTTATCTTGATTTCTTAGAGAATTGAGAATATGATTTTACTATATTTTCTAGGTTGTCCACTATTAGAAATGATGTCAAATAAAGCAATGCAGCATCGTCATTGGCAGCGTATTGCCGATGTGACAGGTGTCCATAATTTAGATGTTGAAGCCGATGATTTTCGTCTTCGAAATGTTATGGATTTACCATTACTTCAATTTAAAGAAGATATTGAAGATATTTGTATAGCTGCTGTAAAAGAACGTGATATTGAAGCAAAATTAAAACAAGTTGAAAATGATTGGAAATCACAAGAATTTAATTTTGCCCAATTTAAAACTAGAGGTGAACTATTATTAAAAGGTGATCGAATACAAGAAGTGATTGGATTATTAGAAGATTCACTTATGCTATTGGGATCATTAATGAGTAACAGGTAAAAATTGAAAAGTACACAATTTTCATTATTTTTTCTAATCTTATTTTTCTTACTCTTTCTTTTTAGATACAATGTTCCATTTCGTAAACAAATTCAAAAATGGGTTAAAGATTTAACAGATACAAATGAAATTATTGAAAATTGGATGCGTGTACAAAATTTATGGGTTTATTTAGAAGCTGTTTTTGTTGGTGGTGATATTGCCAAACAATTACCTCAAGAAGCTAAACGTTTTTCATCTATTGATAAATCATGGTTAAAAATCATGTCAAAAGCTCATGAACAACCGGCTGTCGTTCAATGTTGTACAACAGATGAAACACTCAAACAATTATTACCTCATCTTTTAGAACAATTAGAATTATGTCAAAAATCATTAACAGGTTATTTGGAACGAAAACGATTGTTATTTCCAAGATTTTTCTTTGTATCGGATCCTGCTCTATTAGAAATTCTTGGTCAAGCAAGTGATCCACATACGATAAAAGCTCATCTATTGTCCGTATTTGATAATATCAAGACAGTAAGATTTCATGAAAAAGAATATGATAAAATATTGGCAATTGAATCATCCGAAGGAGAAACAATTGAAGTGAGTAAACATCTTTAAACATATTTAAAGAAATATAACAATTCTTTATTAAATATTTTAGTTAGAAAAATCAGTAAAAGCTGAAGGCAATGTTGAAATATGGCTTATGTCCTTGTTAAAGGAATCACAAAAATCGTTACATGGTGTCATTCGAAATGCTTTTAATGCACTATCGGATCCAAGTTCATTTAATCTGATCGAATTTTTAAATACTTATCCAGCCCAGATTGGATTACTAGGTACGTTATGCATTTTCGAGTCTTTTTTTTCCATGTCTTCTTAGATATAACTTATATAATTTTTGTTAGGTATACAATTGATCTGGACACGTGATGCCACTGAAGCGTTGAAAAATGCCAAAACAGATAAAAATTTAATGAAACAAACATCAAAATTATTTGGTGACCTTCTCGATTTACTCATTGATCAAACCACCAAAGATCTATCTAAAGTTGAACGTACAAAATATGAGACACTGATCACTATTCATGTACATCAAAAAGATATATTTGATGAATTAGTAACAGGAAATGTTCGTTCCATATCCGATTTTGATTGGTTAAAACAGACAAGATTTTATTTTAATGAAGAATTGGATAAAGTTCAAATATCAATAACAGATGTTGATTTTACATATCAAAATGAATTTTTGGGATGTACTGAACGTTTGGTTATTACACCGTTGACTGATCGATGTTATATAACATTGGCGCAAGCTCTTCACATGGCAATGGGTGGAGCACCAGCAGGACCAGCAGGAACCGGTGAGAAATATACGATACTTTACTCCTCTCTAATGATCACTTTTAAAAATCAATGTTCTCTCATGTTCGTCATTTCTGATCATGCATCAATAGTTGAAATAAAATGTAACATTATTTAATAAACTAACTTAGATGTTTCTGATTGAGTGTATTTTAGTTATTTTCGTCTTGTTTCAGGTAAAACGGAAACGGTAAAAGATATGGGTCGTTGTTTGGGCAAATATGTCGTTGTCTTCAATTGTTCGGATCAAATGGATTTTCGTGGTTTAGGTCGAATATTTAAAGGACTCGCTCAATCAGGCTCATTCGGATGTTTTGATGAATTTAATCGAATCGATTTACCCGTACTGTCTGTGGCTGCACAACAAATCGCTATTGTTCTAGCATGTAAGAAAGAGAAAAAACGACAATTTGTATTTACTGATGGAGACATGGTCGAAATGAACATGGAATTTGGAATATTTTTGACTATGGTATTTGAGTTTTTTTAGATATATCATATTTTCTTTATATGAAGACTATTTTTTATAATTTCTTGTAGAATCCTGGCTATGCTGGTCGTCAAGAATTACCAGAAAATCTTAAAATTAATTTTCGATCTGTTGCTATGATGGTTCCCGATCGTCTCCCAATTATTCGTGTAAAAATGGCTGCATGCGGTTTTCGAGAAAATGTGCCATTAGCTAAAAAGTTTTATACACTTTATAAATTATGCGAAGAACAATTGAGTAAACAGGTATACTAATAATCTTTGTATACAATTTTTGTCCAAATGGTTTATCCTACATACGTATTATCTAGGTTCACTATGATTTTGGTTTACGTAATATTTTGTCAGTGCTAAGAACAATGGGGGCTGTTAAACGAGCAAACAAAGATGATCAAGAGAAAACAATTGTCATGAGAGTATTGAGAGATATGAATCTATCAAAATTGGTATGTATAATTGATGAACACAAAATAGTAACGAAAAGCATTTGATATGTGAGAACATCAATCACTAGTTAAGCATTTATTTATATCTTCTCTGCTGAATATGTAAATTAGACTTCTTTGAGATATATAATGAAGTGATAAAAAAAATTACAAGTATAAATAATTCAAGATAATTATGCCGAGTTTAATAGAAAATAGACTACGTAGAACATAATTTCGTGGTTTTTAAGGTTGATGAAGATGAACCATTATTTATTTCTTTAATCAACGATTTATTTCCAAATATCAAACTTGAAAAAGAGACCTATGTGGACTTGGAAGCTGCTATTGATAAAGAAGCACAAGCAGCTGGTCTCATTAGTCATCCACCATGGATATTAAAAATAATACAGGTAAACATTCTATCTTCTTTCCAACCATTTTAGTAATACGTATCTTCTGTCGATCAATCATCAATAACCAATTTTTTTGCCTAGCTAACTTATTACTGCTTTTTATATGTATTTAGTTGTATGAGACACAACGTGTTCGTCATGGTATGATGACATTAGGTCCTACAGGTGTTGGCAAGACTTGTTGTATTCATACTCTAATGAAAGCCATGACTATTTGTGGTGAACCACATCGTGAAATGCGCATGAATCCAAAAGCGATTACAGCTCCACAAATGTTTGGTAGATTAGATGCAGCTACAAATGATTGGACAGATGGAATTTTCTCTACATTATGGCGACGTACATTACGTACGAAAAAAGGTGAATTTATATGGTTGGTACTTGATGGTCCGGTGGATGCTATTTGGATTGAAAATTTAAATTCGGTGTTGGATGATAATAAAACATTAACATTGGCAAATGGTGATCGAATACCAATGGCTCCAAATTGTAAAATAATATTTGAAGTACACAATATTGATAATGCATCACCGGCAACAGTGTCAAGAAATGGTATGGTCTATATGAGTAGTTCTGGTTTAGATTGGAAACCGTTAATACAAGTACGATTTTTTAATTAGATTTATAGAAAATTCATTTAATAACTTTAATATTTTATTTCAGGGTTGGATAAAACGTGATCGTTCACATTATGATGGTGATATATTAATGAATTTATTTGAATCCTCATTTCCTTTATTATATCGCTATTTTGCGTTATATCTAAAATCAAAAATGCCTGTACTTGAATGTATGGTTGTCACACAAGTAAGTAGTCATATGCTTTTTATCTTTCACTCCTTTAATCTGCTGACACTATGATTTTAGGCCTGTAAACTATTGAATGGTTTATTGCCTTCAAAAGATGCTAAAGAACAATTCAGTCAATCGCATATTGAACGTTTATATGTCTTTGCCATTATGTGGAGTGCGGGTGCATTTTTAGAATTAGATGATCGTTCTCATTTACAAGAATATATATTAACCAATCACGATGGATTTCGATTAGATACACCACCGATACAACCAAATACAGAAGAATCAATATTCGATTATTTTGTTAATGAAAAAGGTGAGTCAACCGCTTTTTATTAATACAAATAGACTTAATGTTCTATATATATATTACTCAGGCGTATGGACACATTGGAATACGGTTGTAACAGAGTATATTTATCCAAAGGATCATGATCCAGAATATTCATCAATTTTGGTGCCTAATGTGGACAATGTTAGAACAGATTTTCTAATTAATACAATTGCAAAGCAAAATAAGGTAATTTCTCGATGATTAAAATTATGATTATACCTGCATTTTAGCTATTTACTAAATTATTTTCCTTATAGCCCGTATTGTTGATTGGTGAACAAGGAACGGCTAAAACAGTGATAATTCAAAGTTATATGGATAAATATAATGCCGAAGAACATGCTGCAAAAACTGTCAATTTCTCATCAGCTACGACACCAAATATGGTTCAAGTATGACCATTAGAATTAGTTCTATAGCATAGCTTATCTTATATTCATTACTTTAGCGTATAGTTGAAAGTTATGTTGATAAACGTGTTGGTTCAACGTACGGTCCTCCAGCTGGTAAAAAGATGACTGTCTTCATCGATGATATTAATATGCCAACAATAAACGAATGGGGTGATCAAATAACAAATGAAATCGTCCGCCAACTCATTGAACAAGGTGGATTTTATTCATTAGAAAAACCAGGAGAATTTATTAGCATCGTTGATATACAGGTATCTCCTCTAATACCGTGTACGTAACAAATAATAATATGCTCATTTTTCCAGTTTTTGGCGGCAATGATCCATCCGGGAGGCGGTCGAAATGATATTCCACAAAGATTAAAACGTCAATTTGCTATTTTCAATTGTACATTACCATCGAATACATCGATTGATAAAATTTTTAGTGTCATTGGTTTGGGTCACTATTGTAAAGAACGTGGTTTCACAGATGAAGTACGAGATTTAGTTGAACGTCTCGTACCTGCTACACGACGTCTATGGCAATTGACAAAAGTGAAGATGTTACCTACACCAGCTAAATTTCATTATGTATTTAATTTACGTGATTTATCGAGGATATGGCAAGGAATGGTTAATACGATACCACAAGTAATTAATAAAGAAAAAATTCTAATTCAATTATGGAAACATGAATGTACAAGAGTTATTTGCGATAGGTAAATACTTTCAAAAATAAGTTATTTTCTTCTATTCATATTTACAAAATAACATTAAGAGAAATGTTGCCTGTTATGTCTGGATATTGCGCACATGACAGTGATGAAGAAAAAACAAATTCTCGTATTTTGATGCTTCATTTGCAGTACTATTTTCCATACATAGATTTGTAACAGAAGAGGACATAACATGGTTTGAAAAAACGTTTAAACGTGTAGCTGAAGAAGACTTGGGTTCCAAACATGGAGAATATACGACACTTACGGCACATTTTGTCGATTTTCTCAGGTTGTTTTTAGAAATTTCATCACCGTTCACTTAAAAGTTATTGAACACAAAAGAAAATGATGCACAAATATTTTTTCTAAATGATCACTGAGATCGATCTTAGATACTGGCAAGCATGACTTTATAAATCAAAATCACTGTTTGTCTATATTTATTTTTCACACAACCATTGGCGTTGATATAGGAGAGAATTGAAAAATGTCACGATATGCATGAAAACTCTTTTTGCTGTACACTTCACTTCACATCCTTAGATTTATTGAACAAGACGATTATCGTTGGTATTTTAAAACAATTGAACGTGTCACTGAAGAAGAATTAGATGATAAATATTTACAAATGGTTAAACCAACTGACTGGTTTGTCGATTTTCTAAGGTAGTAACGAAAAAAGTTGCTGCGTATAATTGTTACCGCTTTATGGGATAAAAAATACATTCTATCTATTGGAACTAAATTGCACTGTTCTCTGTAGGATTTTTGCTTAATTCTTTAACTAAAAAATATTTAGATAAAACTAATATTTTCTTGAACACTGTTTGCTTTCTAACTTTGATTAAGGCCTAACTAATGCTTGGTTTTTTCAAAGTAAAGTCAAATTAGATTGATTTTCCTATAGAAATTTATCTCACTCTCATCGAACGTTTCTTAAGTTATCATATAACTTACTTTTTTTGAAATTACTTCTTTACTATGATTCGATGGGCTTTTTTGATATGATGTTACTCACGAATTCAAAATTCATGCACGTTTTATCATAATTACACCTCCTGTTAGTATCATCAAACTATCAAGAATACGAGTTAGATAAATAATATTTGTTTTCAACTTACAGAGATGCTCCTGAACCAACCGGTGATGAGCCCGATGATGCTGATATGGAAGCACCAAAAATATACGAACCAGTATGTTGATCATTTGTCATCAGAACATTTCAAATGACTTCTTTCGTTAATTTTTAGATAGCATCATTTGAACAGTTAGAAGAACGTTTAAAAATGTATTTGGCTCAATATAATGAGAGTATTCGTGGTTCTGGAATGGATTTAGTGTTTTTCAAAGATGCCATGACACATTTAATTAAAATATCGCGAATCATTCGAACTCCAAGAGGCAACGCGTTGCTCGTGGGTGTTGGAGGCTCGGGAAAACAATCGTTGACGAAACTGGCATCATTTATTGCTGGATACAAGACATTTCAAATTACATTAACAAGGTCAGTGAAAATAACATTAAAAAATCATTGAAAAATAAAAATATATTCACCTTTTTCTAGAGCTTACAATACAAATAATTTACTGGAAGATTTGAAAACATTATATCGTATTGCTGGCAAAGAAGGCAAAGGCATTACATTTATATTTTCTGATCAAGATATTAAAGATGAATCGTTTTTGGAATATATTAATAACGTTCTATCATCAGGAGTTGTAAGTAACTTTTTTTATTTTCTAAACTTGGTGATAAATCTAATATTTTCATTAAAGGTTCCTGGTATGTTTGCACGGGATGAAATGGATGAAATATGTCAAGAATTAATACCAATTATGAAAAAACAATATCCGAGACGAGCACCAACAAATGAAAATTTATACGATTATTTTCTCACTCGTGTCAGACAAAATTTACATGTTGTGTTGTGTTTTTCACCTGTTGGAGAAAAATTTCGAAAAAGAGGTCTGTGGTTAGTCACTTTCAATTAATATGTCTTAAACGTTTAGTTGCACTATCTTAGGTCTTCAATTTCCCGGATTGATATCTGGTTGTACTATGGATTGGTTTCAACGATGGCCCAAAGATGCTTTAGTTGCTGTTGCCGATCATTTTCTGGCATCATTCAATATTGTGTGTACCGATCCCATCAAGAAAGAGTTGGTTCAATGTATGGGTTCAGTTCATGATGGTGTGGCCGAATATTGCCTTCAATATTTTCAAAAATATCGTCGAGCAACACATGTGACGCCTAAATCGTATTTGTCGTTTATCAATGGTTACAAGGAAATATATGCACAAAAATTACAAGAAATTGAATCGATGGCCAAAAGAATGAATGAAGGTATGATACTTTGTTCTCATTATGAAAATTCACGTGTTACCTGAGTTCTTTTATCTAGGCTTAACAAAATTAGTCGAAGCTGAAAAAGCTGTTCATTTAATGAAAGAAGAGTTAACAGTTAAAGAAAAAGAATTGGATGTGGCAAATAAAAAAGCAGATGAAGTTTGTTTTTCCTATATCTACTTATTTTGAAAAGTGTTGTATCTGGATGTCTAATTCTAGGTATTGAAAGAAGTGGCTGTTAAAAAAAATGCAGCTGAAATTGTTAAAAAACAAGTTCAACGTGTTAAAGATGTTGCACAAGCACTTGTCGATGAAATTAATCGTGATAAAATAGAAGCGAATGCCGAATTAGAAAATGCTAAACCAGCACTACTAGTAAGATAAGTTTTACTCATATCGATTTCTATTTTTCTTATTGACTTTTATTCTCGTTTAGGAAGCTGAAGAGGCTCTAAAAACGATCACACCGGGTGATATAGCGGTTGTTCGTCGTTTGGGTAAACCGCCGAATTTAATTCGTCGTCTTATGGATTGTGTATTGATTTTATTCGGACGACCATTGACAAATCCAATTAAATTTGATAGAGAAACAGAGAGTCTCGAACCATCTTGGGATTCTTCACTAAAGGTAGAGATATTCTGGCACATTATCTTATCTTTTCTTCATTTTACTTCTGTTTTAGTTAATGTCTGACACATCCTTTTTAACTCAGTTACAAACATTTCCGCGTGATCGTATCAACGATGAACAAATCGAACTACTTCAAACGTATTTTCGCGCACCTGACTATACAAAAGAAGGTGCTAAAATAGCAGCTGGATCAATTGCTGGTCTTTTGACATGGACACGTGCTATGGCCGACTTCTTCCATGTTAACAAACGTGTTATGCCATTAAAAGCCAACTTGGCTGTACAAGAAGCCCGTTTAGGCAAAGCGAATCATCAATTACAGACGGCTCAAGATGAATTGGACAAACGTGAAGCGGAAGTGGCTGCAGCACAAGCTGAATATGATTCGGCTATGGCCATTAAACAACGTTTACAAGATGATTTGGATCGAACATTGAGACGCATGAATGCAGCAACAGAACTAATATTAGGCTTGGCAGATGAACAAGAGAGATGGACAGCACAAAGTAAACAATTCAAAGAGCAAATTGGAAGGTAAGTGACTTCTCATACCTGCGTTATTTAACTGTTATATATGACATCTGTTGGATAATGCCTTTTTTTCTAGACTCGTTGGTGATGTATTATTATGTACTGGCTTCTTGTCGTATCAAGGTCCATTTAATCAAGATTTTCGTTTATTACTTGCTAAAGAGTGGCAAAAGTTGCTAAATGAACGAAATATTCCATTTACAAGAGGTCTGAATGTAACAGAATACTTGACAGATGTTACCATTGTAAGTTTTTGTGTTATGCAACTCTCATTTAATACATGTGCTAGTTGTCCTGTTGTTATGCAGGTTGGTGAATGGAAACTGCAAGGATTACCAAACGATGAATTATCAATACAAAATGCTATTATCGTGACAAGAGCTAAGCGATATCCACTACTGATTGATCCACAAGGTCAGGGAAAAGCTTGGATCAGAAATAAAGAAAGTGCAAATGAGCTGCAAGTGAGTCGTTTTACTATCTTTTTTTCCCAAACTCTCCCTCACAAAAACAGTAATTAGATACGAAAAAGATGTCTGAGTATTTATTTGTTAGGGATTAAATTATTCAGCTGTTTACATACAGTACATATCCTTGCCTCTCCTTCTACACAACCGTTTTATAATTTAGCCGTAGGTGTACGGGTAGAGCAGTTACAGGTACGAGTTCCGTATTTTTTTATTTTGCCCGAAAACCGGAAGATTTTAGTGGAAAACCGCAAAATTTTGGTGGAAAAATACAAGATTTTAGCTAAAATACATGAAGGTTTAAAAAACAGTTACCTGAGAACGTAATGATAACTTGTTAGCTCCAGTCGAAAAACAAAAGTTATTAGCTGGAAAACGAAAAGAAGGAATCTTTAGGCGTAAGTCACAAATTTTTGGGTCGGGTACCGGTACGAAAACAGTACCCGTGCACATTTCTACTTCAAAATGACTTATGACAAATCCTCGAACGTAATGAAAGTTTATTAAACGATCAGAACTGAATTTTATTGAACTTAGTTTTACCAAGTGTTGTGTGTTGCTGTTTTGTATTAATCTGTCCCAATAAATCTAATCGCAAGCCGCCGCAAAATCATTCGATGTGATCAACTTAAAATAAGCTCTCGTGAAACTATTTTCTCTATTGGCGAAGTGTGTTTTCCATCTGTGAAGAACTCTAGACAAAATGTATCTAGAAAACATACTATTCATCGGATTTCTGGTCATAGTTAACGAATTTAGGATTTATTTTGAATAAAACACCTTTTAGTAAATAAAAGCCGAGAAATAATAGCTTAATTTTAACGTTTATAAATAACATAAAAGAAAGATACTTCAACAAAATAGTGTCATTACTACTCACATGTTCTGTTTGTATTAGTCGACGAATTTGCAATCGAAACATTTTCGCCAACATTTGGAAGATTGTTTATCATTGGGACGACCATTATTGATGGAAGATGTTGGAGAAGAATTGGATCCTGCTTTAGACAATGTTTTAGAAAAAAATTTCATTCGCTCAGGTTCCACATTGAAAGTCAAAGTGGGTGACAAAGAAGTAGATGTTCTAAAAGGATTTAACTTGTATATAACAACGAAACTGGCGAATCCAGCATTCACTCCCGGTAAGACAGTTAATAGATCGAAGAAGAGAAAAATTTATGAAGATTAGTTTGTTTTAGAAATATCGGCAAAAACGTCGGTAATCGATTTTACTGTAACAATCAAAGGTTTAGAAGATCAACTATTGGGTTTAACAATTTTGAAAGAAAAATCAGATTTAGAAACAGAACGTGTTAGAATGTTAGAAGATATTCAAGCAAATAATAAACGAATGAAAGAATTAGAAGACAATTTATTATCAAGATTATCAAATTCAAAAGTAAGTTTCAACACATCTTTCGTGGAGAAGGGCTCTAAGAGACACTAAAGTTTCGCTTACATTGAACACAGCAAATTCATTTGCGGTAACCGTACTAAATTTTGTTTTCAAGGGTTCATTAGTCGATGATGATGATCTAATAAAAACGTTGAAAACAACGAAAACGACATCATCTGATGTTAAACAAAAACTAGCTATAGCTACGGAAACAAGTCAAAAGATTAATGTAGCGCGTGAAGAATATCGTCCCGTAGCTACTCGCGGATCAATTCTCTATTTTCTTATTGTTGAAATGTCAATGGTCAATGTCATGTATCAAACATCGTTAAAACAATTTCTACAATTGTTCGATCAAGCACTTGAACGATCACCAAAAGTAAGTTAACTTTATTTATTGTCTATAATTGTTATGATGTAAAAAATCACTTTTGTAGAGTCCTGTAACATCTAAACGTATAACAAACATAATGGAATGTTTAACGTATGAAATTTATAAATATGCTGTGCGTGGGTACTATGAAGAACACAAGTTCATGTTTACACTCATAATGGCACTTAAAATCGATCAACAATCGGGAAAAATTAAATTTGATGAATTTCAAACTCTTATTAAAGGAGGAGCATCCTTAGACGTGCAAACAGGTATAAAGATTTATCCTACATCAAACTATTAGTATGAAGTTCTAATATCTTTAGTGCCGCCGAAACCAACCTACAAATGGTTACAAAGTGAATCATGGTTAAATTTAGTTGAATTATCAAAATTATATCAATTTTCTGGCGTACTGGATGCTGTAAGTCTGTAGCAGATCAATTTTAGATGATCTGATATATATGGTTAAAAACGTTTTTAAAATAAACTAACTAAAACCACATCTTCTACCACTCTCTCTTCATTTAGATCAATCGCAATGGTGCAACATGGGAGACGTGGTTCAAAGTAATTATACATTTTTCTATTTTGAGATCTAACATACTTGTCTACAGTTAAAGTCCAAGAACGATTTTGTGTTCCAGGTGACGATCGACCAATATACTGAGAATTTTGCTAGTTAAAGTTTGTAAACTGCTATTTTCTGCTCGCTCATCAGCTCAATTCTTTGAAATTTTGTACATTATCTTAAGCTCAAGTGACTAAACTTTATACAGCAGTGGTACTAAATGCTATATATATATATTTTAGAAAGATGAGCCAGAAAAAGTTGAATTACCAGATGGTTATCAAACACTTGATCCATTTCGGCGTTTATTACTTATTCGATCTATCGCACCGTCGCGATTCATACCACAGGCAAACAGATACATTGAAGATTCATTAGGACCAAAATATTCAGAAGGTAAATTATTGTGAAAATGTAATCTGACATTTACTTTATTATCTTGTAATTGATTCAAGGTGTTGTACTGGATATGGAAAAAATGTGGGATGAATCGGATAAATGTACACCATTAATTTGTTTTCTGTCGATGGGTTCAGATCCAACCGTACAAATAGAAACATTAGCAAAAAAGAAAATGATCGATTGTCATGCCATCTCAATGGGTATGTGTTTAAGTTTACAGTGAAAAAGAGAGACGAATATGTCAAAGACACAAAGAGATTGTATTTCTGTTTGTCTGAGACTTCATCTAATGAACATTTTGTCGAATGTTGAGTAATCAACTTTTCACTGTTAATATTATTGGATATTGTTTTAGGTCAAGGTCAGGAGGTACATGCTCGACGTATAATGGGTCAGGCTTACACGAACGGTTCTTGGGTTCTACTACAGAACTGTCATTTGTCCTTGGATTTTTGTGAGGAATTTTTGTTACAACTAACCGATAATACAGATAAAATTCATCCTGATTTTCGACTGTGGATCACCACAGAATTACATCCAAAATTTCCCATTGGGCTGTTGCAGGTATATTCTTTATTAAGCATCTGTCCAAAATATGCTTTCTTTTTTTCTAAATCTAGATTTCAATTAAATATACTGCTGAACCTCCGCAAGGTGTCAAAGCTGGTTTAAAACGAACATTTGCTGGTTTAACACAGGAACAACAACTGGAATCTAATTCACATGAAAAATGGCGTCCACTGCTGTATGCCGTGGCATTCCTTCATACCATTGTTCAAGAGAGAAGAAAATTTGGCCCCCTAGGATGGAATATTCCATATGAATTCAATACGTCCGATTTCAACGCCACTGTCCAATTTATACAAAATCATTTGGATGAAGTCGACGTGGGAAAAGTGGGTTTAAAGCATTTCTCTACGATCAAGTTTGAAAATTACTTTTATATCTCTGCTATTTTAGCAAATGCAATGGAAAACAATTCATTACATGATTTCTGAGGTTCAGTATGGAGGTAAGTTTATGTTACAGTCTAGGCGAAAAAATCTGTGAGTTATTTTTTTCTAAACATTGCGCTTCTTAAGGTCGTGTGACAGACGATTTCGATAAACGTTTATTAAAAACTTATGTCAAATGTTGGTTTCGAGATGAAATGTTCGAACCTGGTTTCTATTTTGAAGATCAAAAATATCGTATACCGAAAATGGCTACTATTCAAGATGTTTTTGAGTATATCAATGATTTACCGGCATATGATTCAGGAAAAGTATTTGGACTTAATCCATTAGCTGATGCGAGGTATGTGAATTTATTTAGTTTCGTTTGATACTTCAAATTATCTCGTCTGTAGATACCAAGAAGATACAACTCGTAAAGTTCTCGATACAATTTTGAGTATTCAACCGAAAGAAGCTCGTGGTGGGGCTGGTGAAACGCGTGAAGCTGTCATCTATCGTCTAGCCACTGAAACTCTTGAAAAACTACCTTCCGATTATATTGCGCATGAAGTTAAAGAACGATTAGCAAAATTGGAACCAATGAACATCTTTCTTCGTCAGGAAATTGATCGTTTCCAACGTGTACTCAATGCTGTTAAACGAACACTCACCGATTTAAAATTGGCTATTGATGGTACAATTGTGATGAACGAAGAGTTGAGAGATGCTTTAGATCGAATGTACGACGCTAAAATACCGAGTGTATGGCTGAAATTATCATGGGAATCGTCAACATTAGGTGCATGGTTTTCTGACTTGTATCAACGTAATGAACAATATAGATCGTGGTTAAAATTAGACAAAGATCAGAGACCATTGACTTATTGGATGACGGGATTCTTCAATCCACAAGGATTTCTAACAGCAATGAGACAAGTAGGTTGCGCTAGTCAAACATATCCTAGTCCTTCTCTTCATCTATCTATCTAACATTCGTTTTTAGGAAATAACTCGCGCTAATCCTGGTTGGTCATTGGATAATGTCATATTAACTAATACTGTTAAAAAGTTCGATCGAGATCAAGTGAAAGATCCGCCATCTCAAGGAGTCTTTGTTTACGGACTCTACATTGAAGGTGCAAAAATCAAAAATGGTGCATTAGATGAATTAAAAGCAAATGAAAAAATGCTCACTCATCCAATGCCCATTGTACATATTAGTGCTGATGCTGAAGGAGCACAAAAAGATCGAAGACAAGCCTACTATGCACCAGTCTATAAAAAACCAAGACGAACAGATAGAAATTATGTATGTACATTGAAACTCGAGTGTCCACCCGGAGATAAAGTTCCAGCTGACATGTGGACACTCAGAGGGGTAGCACTACTTTGTGATACAAAATAAAGTTTAATCTTTGTTGTTTTTGTTGTTTGTTTTGTACAGATGTGTGCCTTATATTTGTTGTTTTTTTATTTTGTAAATTTTAAAATGAAGCAATAAAATTGTTTCATATCGACTACCGTGTATGCGCCAAGTATTGTAATACGTCGATGCTTACTAACTTCTTTCAAGTTCTATTTATCTAATCTCAATTTATGCATATAGTTAAAAAAGACTCAACAGTAATCAAATATTCTTTTAAAGATCTAAAGATAAAACTGCGCGATTATTTATGTACTTATACATAAACATGTGCGCCAATCAAAATGTGCGGCGTGTAAATTTTGCACAATCGGCGGCGGTTCTCCACCCCATAACTTTTTTTCGCTTGCGGCGGCAGCGCCAGCGCAAACTTTTTCATTCGCCGGCGTGGGAGTGAAGAATCTCGAAAGCTAGGGCTAAAATTTCCTTTCTTCACAGAGCTACTATTTTCTCTAAATGGCACGTGGACTGGGCGAGAACTGTTTCTCATACCCTGGTCCACTTTCTCTGATGAAGTCCCCGAAATCCCTAGGGAGTTTTGAGGGATTCCTTGTAAAATCCCTGATTTTTAGGGAGTGGGAAGAAATAATGAAGCGTAGTCGAGACTCCAGACAAAACTTTCGCGGAACTCCTGTTACGGAGTCCTTCCGGGATCCTGCAGAGTCAGGTGGGATTTTCGAGGGACGCCTGAGCCCCACCTGACTCTGGAACAAGAGTCTCGCGGGAGTTTTGTTAGGAGTCTCGACTAGGCTGGTGATTCAAGGATGACTCTCCAGAGATTTCGTAGGGAAGAATGTACAACATATTCACCGTTTTGTTTTGCGCCTGCAGACGTATATAAACATGCAAATTTAAAATGAACATCTCCTTTCTTTAGATTAATTTCTTTCTTTTTTAGATAAGTGTAGCTGTTTTCGCCTGAGACTGGTCGGCGTTAACTCGTCGTTTCAGCGTGAATTAACTTTTCAGCCGAGTGACATGAATGCATTTCAGATATAGATGAACGGTGTTGAAATTCAATGAATAAAATTCTAAAATTCAAGCCGAAAAATTAAAAGAGCTCATTTGCAAAAGAGGATTTCTATTGGCAAAGAGCACTTACAAAGATATTCGATGATCTCACCAGCTGACATCAGCATTTTTGAAATGCGACATCATCGAATATCTCTGTAAGTTGCCAACAGAAATTCTCTTTTACAGATAAGTTCTTTTAATTCTTCGGCTAGAATTTTAAAATTTTATCCATTGAATTCCAACGCCGTTCATCTGTATCTGAAGTGCATTCATGTCACTATATGCATAATCTATATCCATAGTCGATCGAACCGAAAAATGCATAATCCCCAGGGAGTGTCAGGGAGGCTCCCTGGGGAGTGCTTAAAGATGTGCACTCCCCGAAGAGTCCCTAGAGAGTTACCTTCAAACTTCCCAGGGATTCCCAAAAATGTATATTCCCTGGGGAGTTCCTGCCAACTCCCCATCCAGCTTTTTGTTTTTCGAACAGTCATACATAAATATATCACTGTTCTGTGCGAATTTTCTCGTAGTGAATCATCATCATAGTGTCAGCCGGTTTTGGCTGACGTGTACCATAGGCTGGTACCAGTTGTAGGGTGTAGCACTTATTAATTATAATGAATTATATGAAATTTACAAAAGATCTAAAGGGAGTCCCCAGGGACTCCCTCAAAACTCCCCGGGGAGTCCTGTTACGGAATCCCCGGAATTTTACGGGGACTCCAGGGATTTCATCAGGTAGTGTGGACTAGGGTACATATCAAAAAAATTACCTCAACCAAAAAATGCTACTTGCCGCAGGTTTTTTCAAGTGGTGAATGCAAAAGCTTCATCATGTGAGAAAACAAAATAGACATTCTGTCATCGGGAGAGAAAGTAAAAAAATGTTCCTTAGCCTTTTGGAACTATAGAATAATTGTTATGAATCGAATTTTGTCTGCTTTATCGCGTTCCAACCCTACACACCTCACGCTGAATATAAGTCCATTGTGTTAAGCATATCCACAGACGATGGTGACGAGGCTAGACTGTTGCTACTTTCACAGTTGTTTTAGCTGTAGTGATCTGCCAAGCCAGCTGTTGTAGCTTACATGGAATAAGACGTGAATTAGGTTAAGGTCTACATCTTTTAGCCAAAATCATTCAATCTTTTGTCAATCGGCGACGATTATGGAAGCAGCGGAAAAGATGAATATGATACTCCGCAAACACATGCGCCAGTCTATCAAACGCCAGTTACTGTAGTTGGTGGCATACTAAAAACGTTGTTGGGTCTTACAGTCAAGGGGGAGGCACTTGATGAATGTTACATTTTATTTTCGAGTAAATAAAACTTTTCGTTCGATTTATTCATAGAACAAAAAGTTGTATATAACACAGATGAAACATCTTTCTCCTCTATGCTTACATATATTTCATATAAAAACAGAAAACTTAGATGTGTAGTAGTTGTTTTCGAAAATAAATCTGTCAAGGATTTTCTTTCTCATTTCATTCAATTCACTGCCGTTGATAACAAAAAATCAAACTGATTCATTTTTCAACCAAACGCTAATTACTACAGTTGGCGGCGGCGGCGTACAAAAACGTTTTCTCAGCGGCTTAACCAGCTTAATCTCAAAATTCATTTCTGCTTTCGGCGGCGGTGCACAACTCTGCTTATACATCAGAATAGTAGTTATCAGCTGATCAGGATGGGAAGTACGCATGAATACTTTTGCTAATAATTGTAAACTGTAATAACCGAGGGTGGGGGATTGAGAGGGTGCGCGTAACTAAAGAAAGCGCTTGAAGACTAGAGAAGGAGAACAAACGAAAGAGATAGAAAAGACAGAAAAACCAAAATTCGAGTCGAGGAAATACATCATTTATGTTTCGTATATTATAACAAATACACAGGTATGTTATCCAATAATGTTTTCAAAAAACTCGACTGAGAACGAATTTCCTTTGCATTTTCTCTCATTCTGGGATTTCTTAGAATGACAGTCATCCTCTGAACCACAGACTTCAACGCTCAACAAACTTTCATGCATGTTGAGAGGGCGATCGGTACTGTTTATCGTCGATCTTGTTTGTCTATATTAGCGGTGGAAAGATGGAGACGTTTCTTGTCCTCAGGAGGATAATATATTTTGGATTAAGACTAAAAGTAAATACTTTGTGTTTTAATGCAAAAACTGATGAAACTATTAAACATAAAGATTATATATATAAGAGAAAAATACTTTTAAAAAGTAACAAGACATTTTGGGAAAAATCATGTGTTTTTAAACTGTTTTTGTCTTATCAAAGTTTTCAACTTTTTTACCAAAAGATTTGCCTGACATTGATCAATTGCTTGCCTATTGTCGATGAAGTTTAAGTAAAATATTCTATGTGTGTTGATATCGAGACAGAAGAGTGCAATACAGTGCGTTTAGCTGACGAATGTGAAGTGATACCTTAGTAAGATAGAGATACAAAAAATGCTCGATTCTGTGGCACAACCTGTCTGAAACCGAATGAAGTTCTTGTGGTGAAACATCGGTTTCTTCCGGAAGTTCTCGTTGCAAGGTGCATTTTCGTATTCAGCACACTCGGTAACCCAGAAGATTTTCTATCTGGGGTGAGGGGTACTTCTGAAAGTTTAGGAAAAATTTTGAAATAAAATGGTGCAAAAAAATTCCCATGTGAATGTGACCCCTTGATAGAGTGACCAAT